AAGAAACAGAAGTTCAAAGCAAACGGCTGGTAACCAGCGGATAACTATTTGAGTCTGTTGTGCAGATCCCGCAAACAAAGCTAACTCACCGGCCTCTTATTCAGTGGTAGTAATATTTCACACCCCATTGGATGGTTACCCGAATTCTATGGACGCTTTGAATTATAAACACGTTGGCTTAGGCGTCAACGCCTCACATGCGTATGAAGGACCTTCGTAGTTACGGCGATGTCGTACTGAGAGAACAATCACTACAAGTGAGGTTTGTAAAGCGTGTTTCTGGGATTCGAGGTGTGAATTGCATCACACGACGCACGCACGTCAGTCCCGTTTCTTTGAGAGCGCTTTGAGGGACAGCTTGAGGAAAACCAAGGCCCGGCAACGTCCGAGGTCACATGTGACACTCGGTGGAAGTAGATGTAACTCTCAACGCATGTCATTCTTCTACTTGACCATCAACTGAGTTGTTGAGCCACAAGTTGTGTATGAACTGAGCGAAAGTGTATGTAAAAGCAAACGCAAGCTGTTTGTTTTCTTGTCTAGCACGACGATGACGCAATGTTTCAGTTGGAATGCAAATTTTGAGTCCAACCGTTGGCGAGTTTAATCAGTTTAATTACCTTACCTGTGTTAATCTTTGATGATTAGCGATGCGACGTGGATTTCAGTTGTAGGAACCTCAATGAATGATGGTTATACAAGAAGTGGTTTGTATTGAAGTAGGACGGACGTATGAGGAACACGCTTTGGGTTGTCTTATCAATTAAAATGTAACTTGTGTGATCATGTGTAGTGTTCGGGAAAATAAAACTTTTGACTTTTAAGACCTATATCCTTGCATGAAAAATATTACAAAACCAAATGACTCAAAAAACTGGTCAATGGAAAATTATTTATAGACTGTTGGATCTTAGCAAATCGTTTTGCTAAAACATAGGATTTGTGTTCGCTGAAGCATAGAAAAGTGGACAAACTAATGCCTCTAAAAATCTGATTTATTTCCGGACTGGTACAGGAATGATTTTGGTGTTCGGACCAAATATTGCCCCAAGTCCTACTAATTGCCTTTTATTATTCTCTCAAGATACTGAACATGAATAAAATTTGCAGTTAGTTACGTAGCAATTATGGGTATATTATATATCCCGATAATGTATTTAAAAGGCATTTGCAATGATTCTGTACCACAGCAGTTTTATTTACTAACAATTCATTTAGAGTTTTTTGCGGCAGTTTTGATAAGAAAAGATTAGTAGCCATCTGAATAAAATTAAACATAGTGATCTCATAAAGGTTTTTCTTGAATCATGCGGCTTTCTTATGCAAGGATGTTGTCTGTTTTAAATCAGCCTCCTGGAAAGAATATCAGATTGTAGTTTAGCATCATTAATACCTATACGTGCATTAGCTGGTAAACAGTATCAAAAGAACAACCAAATATACTTTATTATTTTGGATGCATTAACATATATTCAAGCTTTAGTACGCATGTTTATATCCATTTAAATCGACAATAGGAGACCTTTCGCGGATACCTTCTACGTCAGTCCGTTTAAAATAGACCTTCACTTAAACCTAAGGTGAGACGCCATTTGGTAAACATCATCCAGCTATTCCTAAACTCTTTTCATATTTTCAGTTTAAGTCTCAGCTGATGTATCCGCGTTCTGACGATTGGTCGTTTTTGACGAATAGTGTTCCTTTTCCCTTCTTATTGGCTGCCACTGGTAGATCTTTGCTGCATGCTGCATACACGTGTGGCGTTGTGACAAGAATGACGACAACTGGTTGTAATAAGAAAAGCTAAATGGCTACGTCCCAGCTGATTCAATTAGTTGATCGTAGATTGGCCCAATGGGCTACTAATTTTGGTGGCACTGACAACTGTGATGCACATGAGACACCTCATTGGTCCTTACTTTTGAGGATGATAACACAGCTGTTGGCCGTTCTTAAATGCACAAGCACGCATGTCACAGGCTATTCTTATAAGAAAGATGGGAGTGCAGCCCAAACTTGACGATATTGAAGTTATGGATGAGGATCCATCACCTCTTTCGGAAATAAAGACGGGATACACTCCTAATACAACTACACCTGGAGATACTGGGAGAGATTTTTCCAGTTATGAAAACCTTGATACGCCGACTCCAATCAAATCTAGTGATCTTATGGCATATGCTAGGCTTGATACAAGTAAGCATTTATGGTTGCATCCCTAATTATTTTTGTCCGAGCATAAGCATTTTTGTGAAACCTTCAATCAAATGTCATGGTTCTTTTAGTTTTTAAACATACTTGCTTTCAAGATTTTTTGTAACTTGACGAATTCTTTGAGTTCATTTATATAAACCTGTGATCCAAATAGTGTAAGCACTTGCTGACATCTTACGATAACGCCTCGGGTCGAGTCTAATCTTAAACGGGTAGTAAAACGTGAATCATCCCAGTTACTTGATGTTTTTTATTAATAATGAGATTGTACAGTCTTTTCATGGGGGCTCAAGCCGTATTAAGCGTTGTATTATGCAATGCACTGGAAGATTTGACTGACCTTGTAGAACTTTAGTGGGTGGTTTGTTTGTTGTTTTGAATCAAATTCTTTAAACAAAACGTCAACGCACTTTCTTTGATCTTACATTGGCTTCAAAATATTTCGATAATTTTACCAATGATGCTCTCAAGCAATCTGGACTTGACTTACCAGATCAGCTGGACATTTGACAAGTTTTAAATGGTTCTACAGTAGCACGTCTTACGTAACAAGCTATTTTTATTATGGACAAGATTCCGCATAAATGACATTCCAAATCAAGGATTTTATTAAATATCATCATGGGAACCCCCAAAAATTATCTGTTTTCGCAAAAGTCTGGTTCCATTAATGTCGTAGACACATCTCAACGGCAATGGTTGATTTTGTCAACAGGGCACATAGAATGCAAGTTTTGCCGCGACTTCACTCAACTATTCTTTAAAGACACAAAACAATTTGAACTTTATCCTGCCAAATGAAATTATTTTCTTCTACACAAGTTATAAAACATACCATGCCTTGAGTAGCTACTAATTTTTACAGGCATTCTGATTTACTTTTCCCCTATGCATTGATTTTATTACTAATAGTTGATGAAGTTGTGCTATCACACAATCTAAGCTCTGCTGCGCTTGCGTGATACATTTGAGTGCAATACAAACATTTATACTTAAATTCAACCCCCAAAAGTGCTACTTTAGAAAACTACCAATTAAAGCTTTGTGCAATGTATAAGAAAGTTTAATATTCAAGTAAATTTACATAAACTATATACAGTCCGGCAAGTACAGACATTTAGGCAAAAGCTTCTGCTTTACAACCAATACCTATTCAGATAAATGGATTCAGCTGACTAAAAAGTTAGGGCAAGATTATTGCTGTTATAATTGCTAATCACTTGACCAAATTGTTCTTTTGGATCAATGTATGCTTTGATATCTTTCGTATTAGGCATTTTTGAATCAGAGGTGGTTTTATCAATAAGGAAATGAATAGGGTTACACTGCCATTCACTGATTAAATTCTAAGTCTGCTTAATACTTACTGGCTTATTTTTCGAAACACGAGGTCAGCATGTAGATGTGACACTGTAAATCTTGGGAATTAATAACGGAGTACTTCGAAAGTTCGTGCAACTTTACGCGCAAGTTATTTTTAATTCTAGTTTAGTATACTCAAGTTTTAAGTAATTCAGTCGCAATATAGGCTCCTGACCTTGACACGGCTGAGAAGTTATTTATCGGTAAACCCTTATATTAAACATTTTTTTTCAATTTTCTGAACACAACACATGATTCTTGGCCTTTATACCAGTCTGAACGGTCACCAGGGGTTTATTTATCTTGATTCATTTTAAGAAATCAAGACCGTCAAATTATTTGCCCTTTTATTGTAGATTAAGTTACACAACAACAACTTCTTTAACAACGTGTATTCATTTTCATTAGAATGAAATACTTCAAATATGTTAGAGTTTACATGGCTTCAAAGAAGTAAAGTTTGTGGTGTCGTGGTTTTTACTTTTTAAATGTCGTTGATTCGCCGCCCCAAAATCTAAGCCCCAGGAATCGATATACACACGATGATGGTGGTGGCAGGGTGTCAGTAGCCTGTGACGCAACCAAAGCATTGATGTTCTAAAGAACATCAATGAACTCCGGAACAGCATCAGGCAAATGTATGTTTTTTGCTAAAATCATGGAACTATGTTTACAAGTTTAACTTTTCAACATGGGTCATTTTATTATGTCATACGATGGAATATCTTCATTATCACGTTGATTGTCTGTGTTCAACAAATACAGTCTTCCGTTTCAATAGCCTTCTGTGATTAGAATCACTTGTGCCAAATCCAAATGCTGTATGCTCTATTAAATCATCAAGCGAATACGAAATGGAACTCTTGGATGAATACCACAATTTTAATAAGTCACACATTTTAGTTTGAATTTGGACGCAGAATTAGTGCACTTCACTTTGCAGACTACCAGTTGGTTATCATTTGGTGCTGTTCTCATCGTCGGTTATTTTAGCTGAGATTTGAAGTTGCAGACGTTAACATCACGTCTCAAATTGCATACTTTATCTTGTTTCAACGGCACAGTTATAGAAGCTCCTTACAAAGAGACTTCAATAATTTTAAGTTATTTGCTTTTCAATAAACACGGGAACCAGATTCTAAGCAGCACATTAAGTTGGAACTATCTCAAGGTTTCTCTTGAGCAAGATGCAACAACGTAATACCATGCGTAGAGCCCACTTCTTTAAATGATGCTGTCATGACTATGAATATTTCAAAGTTGTCGGTCACGCATTCATCAGGTTAGACCAATAAAATGTCGTGTAGGCTGGACCTCGTGTGTGCAGTGATAAATTGTTGCCACGTTACTCAAATTTTATAACCTGACTTAGTGGTGTTTTTCCGGAGTCTAAGTACTAGCCTACGCAAAGACTTTGGGCCCTAGCTTTAAACACAGTACTGGGTGAAATAAAACTACCTTTGGAAACGTGATGCCAGATTGTGTAGGTTTGTGTCATACAAGTCTTTATGCTTTGGCAAAAATTATCAAAACAGAGATTGGTTTATGTGAACGAACTTCATGCGCAAGCAATAACATTACACAAAATCACAAAACACCTGCGGATAAACACATATCCAACTCAGTCACAAGTTTTTGGGCTTCAGCGGCACTTTTCCATGTAAGCATTCGTACAAAGTCAACGAATGACTTGCTTTGCCAGCTGAGCTGTCATCGGAGGGTTTCTTCATACAGTTTTGATTGTAACTCGGCAAAAGCACGTGAAACTATAGGATCCTGGTCACAAAACCTGAACTTAATACGACACACTTAGGTGAAGCCATTTCATGGGAGTATGAAAACAGATCAACACATACATGAATAACGTGAATTATGACTTTCTTTTGAAACCGGACGGCTTCATCCACCCTGAGTAATTGCCACGAAGGCGTTCTATAAGGTGTCATTTCCTCCAATCGACAGCTTCCAGACTGTTCTTAGGCGGCACTGGGAAGGAGATTTTTGTTTGTTGTTGAAGTTTGGAGGCGGCTATATCAAAATGAACGGTAGAAGGTTATAATTTTATAAAAAAAATTATATTCAAATGAATGATCGGGTTATTCACAAAGTATCAAGACTTTAATCTTCTTTGTAGAGTATTTACCACCTGCTGTCATTGACGAAACGTCGTGCACTAATTTTGGCTGTAATTTTTATTTCGCTCAGGAAAACAAAGCCGAAGACGGTATTGGAAGCAGGAACCGTCACAGAGGAATGACTAAAATGTCTAATAATTCTAACTGGATAATCACTTTATTTAAAAGTGAACGCTCTTAAAATGAATGTTCAGAATAAGCTGATCCTAATTTTGCCGATACTTGGGTAATTTTGTTCCGCAGAACCTCCTATAATTAGTAATTTTGGAAAACACAAGTAAACAAGCCAAAGTGTATACAGTGTGCGTTGACTGCCATTTCAGAACAAACTGCTAAAAATCTTAGTAAGCCACTTTAAATCATTCCATGTTCGTCGTTTTAATTGAAACAAAGAACATTTAGTTCTGTTATAAAATCGCAGAAATCCATTCACTTGAATGAGTTCCCAAGTTTCGTAATGCGTGTGAATATTTCGATGAAAACAGGAGCAAAAGTATTTAACTGTCAAACCACCTTAATTTGTCTTCATGACTTTAATTCATGCGCATATATTCAAAAACTTTTCAGATTAACACTGCGTATTTCGTCTGAGTGATCAGATGACTCAAGGTCCCTAAATACAAGCATAATATTTTCTTAAAAATAAAAAAAACTATATTAGGACTGCATTTTTCAAATTTTAATGTTCTAAGTATTGAGTAATGATGAATGTCAACAGTATTATCCTCATTTTTGCAACACATGCAAAAATCGTTACGCTTTTACTACGTGATTTAGAATCACTATTCCCTCGTAAAATGTTGACTATTAATATGAGTCAAGAATTTTATGTGGTTTTTGAATTTACTATGCTAATACAAACTTCCTCATGAATTCAGTTTTACTAACAAATTTTGTGATTGCAATTTGCTAATATCAGTCATGTAAGTTCGATAAATTGCAAAAAAATGATCCTAAAATATGCGTAAAGCATATTTTCGTTAAAACAGATGTTGAATCATTTAAAAATCGTTATATAAACAATGTCTAAACTCTCGTCAGATACAAAAGTAGTTATCATCTTGCTGAAGTCTTGACAAAAAGACTTGGACTGTTTACTTTTAGTTAATTTATAAGACATAGATGGGTTTTGTTGCTTATTTAGACTTTTGCAAATCTGTAAAGAGAATGGAGGTAATTGCCTGTAACTCTCGGCAATGCAGAAATTACAGTTCCATTTTGACAGTGGTGATCGTTGTCTAAAATTTACAAGTCGACTTTACTAATTTTCTTATAACTACAACTACAAATAATCCGCGTAGCGCTTTCTGATAATCAAACACCACTTCAGATAGCCAATTGTTTTTTTAAAACCTGAAATACACGCTAGATGGGACAAATCTAGTAGATACAGGCCTTCATCGAGATTTTTTTAATCGTTATTGATGTAATCCCAGATCAGCTGATGTTCATGCAGCTTGTGACCGGTTCTGATTCTCCCCAATGCAGAAATAACTGTACTTGCCTTTACGTTTCGTCTTAAAAAGCAAAATCCAATCTCGTTACCTTGATACTTGTGTGCTTGACTCGTTTCATGCAGCGTTGATTGCATACAAAGAGTGTAGTCAGTTCTCATGGAATTCATTTTGAATCCGGCCGTTGGAAAAATGGCCCAAAAAGTGACTCCGGTTCGACGCTTACCAAAAGTTAACAAATTTGCGGAAATTCGATTTTTAAATGGGAAAACTAAGACAGATTTTGGCAAAAAATGAAGTTCTGTTTTCAAAACGTTGCTCGTTACATAACTGGGTATCTCAAATTTTAGATGAACAGGCATGCTTAGACTCGATTAAAGTCCCTTTGTTATGGGGCAGTTTTTTAGCTAAAATCACCTGATGACATTTAAAACCGCATGAGGATAATCGTTGTCTTTCTCGAAAAGCGAGTTACAACTGAATAAATCTGAGATGCACTAAGGAAGAGGATGCCGCACAAGTGACCATGCATTTTAGTCGGTTTGTGCTTTAACCATTGAGGCATCAGACTGCCGGCCTAACTATAGATTTTTCAAAAGGACAAGTCCGTGATACAGCCTGACGCTTTCTAATCTTACTTGGCTTTTTTGAAATTAAACATCAATCTTGCAAATTCGTCCTCACATCAGTGATGCATAATAACTACGTCGAGCCGTTCGGTGGCCAAACAAAATTAATACTCTGTGTCCCTCACACCATTTTTTTATTCTATTACAATGTGACAAAAGCCAACAAACTAAAAAGACCGTGTTTTGTTGCGTCATAGTTCAACTTTGTGCCAGTCAATTTACGCAAGAATCTTTGTTGCATAGCTTTCTGTGTGTACTTACTTTATCTTTGCGTTGGTTGAATGATACGACGATTGTAGTACAGTGATTTAACTTCCTTCAAACTAAGACGTGCCTTTTATGAAACTTGTTGTTTGATATCAGGTTGACAAAATAATGTTTGATCATTTCAAACAACAGGTTAACTTTTGGAAATTGCGTCAAAATCACTCTTCTGAAGTGTGTCGATCTATTTTGAATTTACTCAAGCACTCTTTCCAAAGTTAAAACTTTTCACTACATGACAGTTAGTCTCCTAACTAATCTAATTACACAAATGAAAATAGATGGTGCTAGACTATGTGCCTTCGTTTGAATTCTACTGAACCTGCCAAATCTTTGCTGTTAACACAGTGGATGTTGATGTGGAAAACTTAACTACAGGAAACTAATTCCTAGTAATCCTTAACTTAAATAACTTCCCCTAAAGTTACTTTTCTTTAGATACTAATAGATTTTTAAAGAATAATAATGATGAGCTTTTATGCATGGAATATAATATGGAATTTTAGACCTCAACTAACCTTTTTTTGCTGATAAAAGAAGTTGTAATTAGAACATTCAAGTGCATTTTATTAAATTAACTAAAAAAATCGGCGCCTACAGGTGTTCGTCGAAAAACACTAGATCACTTTTGCATTTACGTCAGGCGGGACTCGTTGGGACTGAACTTTAAACAGAACTATTGCATGAATATAAAAACGAATCTTTGATTTATAATCACACCATTGGAGACATTGTCCTTTAACCAAGACCTCGGTCTGCGCAAAAGTAGTAAAATGACCTAATTCTTGAAATCTCTTTCATATTAATTAACCAAAAACACAACTTTTAAACTTGTAGTAAGCACAATTGTCTTACATTTGTTACATTAACTGTACACAATATATTAATGATAGGTCTCTAGTAACTGTTGAAAAGAGTGACTATTAAAAGGGATGTCGTTTCCGACACATCACCGATGTTGCAATGCTGTACTTGCGAAGGATGATTGTTTTCCCATGTAATTTTCAATTCATGTAACTGCAGATCTCACGCCTCCTGCTACGTCAACCTACTTATTACACGAACGGTATACTATGTTTTATATAACATTCGCTACAATAAATCCTGCGACTGTTGGGCACTGACCAAATGGTGCTCAACCACCACTGTTCGATAAAACAAGTTCAAAAGTCGAAGGCAAACAGCGGGTTGCTTCTGTAATTGCTGTTGTTGGTTGACAAGGCTCGAGCAGTCTAGGAATTGCTTTTTACGACCACAATTCCTTGAGTTAAAGTTCAAAGGTCAAGTGACATGAAAAAATGATGCTGCAAAGACGTCTATGATTGTTACGATTCCCTTGTTTTTTCGTAGATGTTACCATCTCAACTACCACAATTCACCATTTGACTGCAGCTGACACTCAGATGTTCTCCCACAGAGGTAGCAGCTACGGTATTCCCCAGGCCCAGCCACAGCACATCGTTAGGCAGCCTTATAGTGTAATGGAGACACATCGCAGTCACGCATATCTTCAGCAGCAACAGCACCAAATTCCATTTGCCCGAGCTTCCTACCCTCAGGCAATCGATTATCTTGATTCGACATCAGTTAACCCTAATTATTTCCAGTCCTCCTTTTCATTACCTGCTATTGGGGTGTCTACCGGACCCCCGCAAGTGATTTCACAAATAAACCCGTCCGCCCCTTCCACTAGTATTTTTACATCCACTCCTGTTTACACTCCACTCCAACCCATGCGACTAGGGACGCATGGAAGTTTTGATCACCCTTCAACCTCTTGTGAACGCTTCGAGGTTCTTGCCAGTCGTCGAAGTGTAAGTGTACCACAAACCCTATCGTGCCGTGATGTCTTACCTTTCACCAGCAATGTGTGTGCTCCCACTGCAACCCAAACAACGGCCCCAAGCTACTCAGTCGTCAAACAAGAACCCTTTGAGTTCCCCATAGACGTGAGGCGAGCCAGCTGCTCTAGTCTTACCGGACGACCTCGTCGGAGCCTTTTTGCACCTTCAACATCTATAGCATCTGCCAGCACAAAAGAAAAGCAGTTTGTCTGTAACGCAGAGGGATGCGAAAAACGGTTTGCTCGAGTTGACGAATTGAAGCGACACCAGCGGACCCATAGTGACATCCGACCATACACCTGTAACATTTGTGACAAAGGTTTCACACGAAGCGATCACCTGATCACTCATCGCAGGACACATACGGGGGAAAAGCCTTATCCTTGTCACTATTGCGAGCGGTGTTTCGCCAGATCCGATGAACGCTCGCGCCATGTGAAAACTCACACAAACCCCCGCCCCAGCACGAGCATTCGTGGCCGAAGACCCAGTGCCAAATACCAATTGCGGAAATCCCTGACACCCCAACAGTCACAGCAGCCAGCCCTTCCCCATCCTTCACAAAACCAAATGTCTTTTCAGCAGATGGACCTAAGTGGTGCCAGTAGTGATACCAGTTACAGCCAGAGTGAAACTTACAGCGTATATCAGCCGCCGCCCCCACCACAACCGTGAGACAAATCAGCCCCTCAGTGTCTTACTTTTTTTGAATGCGCGGCGTCGGCACATGGCAACCTTTTCTAACTTAGAAAACACAGAGACGTACAAACCAAGCATTGCCGCTGGGCGGTTATTTTGCTCACGCATTCGACGAATCTTACTGTGCTATTATTCATAGTCTATGGAAATATGTTTTGAGCACCTCCCTGTTTTATTTGTTTTACAAGTTTTCTGCTCTCTGCGGACGGGATATATTTTCTTACGTATACATGAAACATTCGTTGCCATTTACACATATCCACCCCACCCACCTTCATCTGCCCCAAAAACAAAACAGATGACAACACTGTGTGTAAGTGCTCGCGAGATGCTTGAGAAACATTCATTGACGGCACACTAGAATTATTTTTTTCTTTGTCTTTATAAAAGTATTTAAGTACAATATTTTACCATGTTGCGCATTTAAACTACCCCAAAGGACTCCCTCCAGTATGTTTCACCGTCCTTCCCATACTCTTTGCAACTAACTGCGCCAATACGATAATTTCAGTTGCTTATTTATCTTTTTCAACAATACAACCTTGTAATTACAACCAAAAATAATGACTATTTAAATGTGTTGTAAACATTTATACACAAGCGTGATTCCCCCATTGGTACCTCGAGGTCAACTGCCTTTCACTCTGGGTTTAAGTAGTGCTCTAAAAAGCTTCCTAAAATTAGTGAAGATGTGTTAAAAGAAATCAAAATTAAGCATCAAATGCATGCTTTGTTCTGCACATTTAACTGAGATGAACTCCATACTTGGATAACAGACGGGAAATCGCAACTCAGTACAAATCCTCGGCTAAATTATTAACTGCAATTTTAAAAGAAATAGGGTATTCTAGAATTATCGGAATGTAGGTCAAAGCACATCAGATTGAAGATCAAGAAGTATGCATCTGGCTTCAAAAGTGGCGCATCGATGTGTTTGCAGCGTAAAAGTAGCTACTGGACTATATGTTTATTAATTTGACTATTTTCACAGGGAAGTTTATCCAAGGGTATATTAAAATCCACTTACTGAATTTACTTTGCGTGGTTTAAAGAACCGAAACAATAGCTAAAATAAAATTGAAGATGTTTTCCCATGTAGAACGTTAGAACGGTAGAACATCGAGATAACTTGTAAGGACGTTTGGATAAAACAGTTCAAATGCTAAAAGTAGTTGCAAAATTTTGAACCAGATAAAGATGAGGTTTCGATACGGAATAAATCAATCTGGAGTCATGGATATCTGCTGAAATAAAATATATTTACACGGTGACTAGATTTTTGTGTGCATTTAAATCAAAAACTTCATATAGCAGATTTCAATCTAGCCTCTCTAATCGCCATTAGTAATGTACAGAGATGTACATCGGGCTTTTGTTTAGGCTTATTTCAAAGGATTGTCTTGTCTTTAAAAACAAGGACACATTTGAATCCTTACCGGTGTTTTCTTAAGTTGAGGTATTTATTTTTCAGGGTTGAGGACGTTTCCCCACAGCTTACTAATATTTTAAAGATACCAAAAATTATCGTGCACTGTTAAGAAACAAAATTTTGGTTGTCTGTTAAAATTTGTTTACTTCGCTCAAGCACAGATGATGCTCCTCGAGAGGTTCCAAACGCAGCCTCCACAATGATTTAAAGGAATTCACTCCTGAGGTGTAATAGCTTTTTTTGCTTATAAGATCGCAATTTTCCAGGATCCAAGAATTATGCAGATTACCGAGAAGCATATTCTTTCTCGAGTATTAAGCATGTTTTCACGTCATTTTTCGTTGGAAACGGAAATGAAAGGCATCTGCTAAAGCCATCGCGTACACTTATCGTAGTACCATGTTAAATGAAGCTACCTGAATTCTATGCCATTTGCTAAATGCTAACAAAATGATTGCTACTTGATTTATGCCAAATGCTGTAAATTCAATCCGTCGATTCAGAATGAGAGACATCAAATGTTGCCCACTCCAATAATGTTTGGAAGTCTATCAAGTCAAAACGTTTACACTGCACGACTTGGGATAAATCGTCTTTAACTGATCGGATTTAGGGCGTCACCACCGAAGCTTCATTCAGAGCCTAAACTAAGGCACGCTGTCGATGCTATTTGAATGTAAAGCTGCCATGATGACAGAGCAAAATAACACAGTGCAAATGCAAATGTCACGCGGCAGGCTACTTCATTGACTGCCTTTGGAATCCCCAAAAATGACCTTATTGTTAATAACTTACCATGGCAACATAAAATGGTTTGGCATTATACCCCAGTTGCCTAAAACTAACTTTGCTTTATCTACACTGACAGTCTTTTAAAATATTTTTGACCAACTACTTGATCTAAGAATGTTCAAATGCTTAGATAGATTTTTAAGTAGTTTTGTCAACTAAATGTTGAAGAGAAAAATTATCCTAGTTAACAACAGAACAATTTATGCACAATTTTACATCTGCATTGCACATGTGCTCGGTTGATTCAAATAACCTGTGGTGAATCCTGTGGATTCACAACAGTCGCCACAGTTCATGTATGACTGCTCCCCATGTTTACTCACCTCCGTTGATTCCCTGCTGAGCCACTTGGCCCCAACCCTGAATTCCAATGGTCATCTTGCACTCTCCTGCATGTGCAAGCGGGTGCTCCTAAGTCCCTAAATCAGCAAGCCTGGGACTCTCGAACAAGTGCGACAAAGCAAAGCTTGGCTGAAACATCAAATAAACGACTAAGCCTCCCTCCTCTCTCCTCCCACCTCATTTCTTCCTGGGGTATTTCTTGCGGTACCCTGCCAAAACCTGGACAAGTTGCTAACGTCACTTTACGTCAAAAATGTAGTTGGTTTATTAGTAAGTGGGTTAGTTGCAACTGCAAACAAATATCAGAGATTAAATTCCCAACTTTGTGGTAACTTTATGGGCGTTAATAACATAATTTAAGGGACTCAAGCGTAAATGGCAAATTATGCCATCAGCCGAATTCAATCTGACCATATTGTAGAAATGTCTAGTTTGACGGCAGTCTGTGCGACCAGAAATTCTAAACATTTTAGGCGCTTTTGAGAGACAAACGCTTAAGCAGGAATTTTGGCTAACGTAACTGGGTACGACCTTTCATCACATCCCAGTTTTTATGCTATCCACCTATTATGGATATAATAGGAAAAAACATTTTTTTCCTTTTTGAAGTTCTTTAAATATGCTGAGGCTGATTTACTTAATTAGTTTACACTAATTATTCTAAGACTAAATTGCCAGATAATTCTTTTGGCCGAAAGTCCCAAATAATTTGGTGTTTTTGTGTTTCAGTTTGTTGACCAATACTAGATGTTAGGAGGTTGGTTTTGTTCTGGCAAATACAGCACGTCTACATCTAAAGGCTATTTAGCACGACTTCAAGCAAGTCAGTAGCACATTTGAAACTCATGACTTATTTTAGGTATTTGTAAAAATTACAGGCTTGGACATCATTCATTTTGTACAAAAAGACTAAACCCTGGCTCAAAGTACAGTTGAAATTTTTGCTGCTGCTACAAATGAAAATAGTATCCTCCATTTACTCAAAAATGAAGCTAAAGTGAAGTGTCTGCGAGTTGCTTAAGTCTTTTCACTTCACCAAGTTCTGGTGCTCTCCTTTCCCGGTACCATTTAAAAATCGAAATTCGTTCTGGCTACAGTTAGGCACGTTTAACATGCAGCACTTGGAAAATATTCAGTCTCATTGTTGAATGTTTTTGTTCAAGAATATTATCAAATAAAACATGTTTGTTTGTGTTTAACCCACAATAGGGTCAAACTGTAAGCGCTAATTGTCACCTTGATGATTAGGTGATTCAATCGCGAAAATAGAACATGCCCGATTTTAACTCAAGTATTTTTCGTAAAATTAGTCGAAAATACAGCATTAAGAGGTGTCCTCACACCAAAATTATTTCCCTCAGAAGCTGCATTAGTTGTAAAATTTATAGGGTGCTTCATATACGCGAAGCATTCTGTTAAATTATGAGAGCTCACATTCTACCTAAGACCTCGCCACAACCATCAATCCTTTAAATTACAAAAGAAATCGCTAATGTTTTCCTCCCTAGATTACTCAAAAGGACTTTATATCGTGAAGTTAAAATTATGTGAACAGATATTCAGAGAAGACATGCCATTTTGACATTCTGATTGTCACATTGGACAGTAACCACTTCTGCTGAAATAGCTGAAGGGTGTCCACTTGCAATCAAGACACCCATTTGATTACTTGTGGCCTTATTTTGTAAAATTCAACAATGTTTTTTTAAAAAACATAATAGGCTGCCTATAAAATAGGTGATCAAATGGACAAATGTGGTTATTTTACTTAACCTCAACCAGTAAACTCATTCAAGCATCACAATCTCTCCAGTGAACATGTTTAGCAGCACCACAGTGAACATGTGGTGCTGCTAAACAAGATTTCCAACGCCTTGCTCGTTTAAAACATTGGCTTTGTAGTGGAATATAAAACGTGAAACATTAACATTAAAACTAGCATTTAGAGCATTTATCTTACAACTCCAACATCCACGCAATCTATCTCGCCATTTTATTATATTTTTTTTACTTTTGTTAGTGTATTGCATGTTTAGAATCAACAACTGTCACCCAAGTAAAACAAGGAAACAAACCTACTGAGTTTTGGTATATATTAGGTTCAATGATTGTAATTGTTTGCCCGGATTATTACTGCAATTCGCTGATAAATTTTTCCTCTGTGTTCATTTACCTAAACTGACTTCCCTAGTAGGACTAGTGGCAAAGCCTTCTTCCAAATTAATACTTACCAGAAATTAAGTGCCACAATGAATGTGATTTAAGTTCCTTGAAACTCAAGATATTTGAGTTTGTGGACATTAAAAGGTCTGCTAAAATAGATTTTCGTGCTGCCAAAATGAGGCTTTTGACGTGAGCCTTTCTCTGTTATCAACCAAGAAGAGGGTTTGGGGCATCTGCGTTCATCAAATAG